AAGCTTATTGTATTGCAGTGCACATCATAGATTGAAATAAAATACCACCTACAGTCCAACTTAACCAAGGAGCAATATATGCACTCTGTCGTGCATTGCATATTTTAATCAAGTCAGTACCATTTTTACAATGCAAACACACCTGCTTTCAATGCAAATAAGGCTCATCATAGAATGCAGCGTATTCACAGACGTCAGCACTCTTTGCCTGCTGCAATTAATGTTGTGCTATAAGTGGAAAGTAGGGTGGAAAGCAGACTGAAAGCAGAGTTTAGTGACAGCAAGGCAACAATAATTCATCAAATTATTGTCAAATGAAGGTGACTGGTGTTATAAACAAGCATACATCCAGACAACGTTTTTAGGTGAGCCTGAATTTTCTCAATGTAAAGAATGATAGCTGGACTTCAGTGGTGGCCTGATGTTCTAAATATAGATATATTGCATTTGTATCCTCAAATACCAAAGGAACTGCACCATGTAAATTCCAATTTTGATATTTTTTAAGAAATGGTTTATGTAGTGATTGAAGTATTTGACTGATAATACGTTTACATGTAAAGATTTTATTTCTTGAGATTTCTCTGTGCAAAACGATGACTTGTCTCTGTGCCTATGACCTTTTATAGAGTTGGGACGCCTTGGCAGGTCTTCATCCACATCAGGAGTGAGACAAGTAGGGGGTGACGTACACAGACAGAGCAGTCTGCCGGCCAGAGAAGCACTCAACCAGGTAACACACTCCAGCACTATTAAAACTGTCACATACTCCACATAAACACACACTCACAGAGTTATTACGCACCTAATGGTATTGTTTCCTCTGCCTAAACACACTCATCCACATAAATATGCACTCACATTAGGATTTGAGCTTGCAAAATCGCTTTGGACCAGATGCCCTTTTTTATGCCCACACACCAGAGAAGGCACTTTGAAGATTGTTTTTAATTATTTTGTTCATACAATGAAAGTCCAACACATGAATAGCCCTAATGAAAAAATGTATTGTTAATTCATGGTATGTTTAACACTTTTTCTCATTTGAAATAGGTATTCCTGGCAGTGGTGGGTAGAGTACACTAATAAAAATGGTCTATTAAAAGAAATGATCAATTCGTCATAATTATCCTTTTAATATTAAAGATGGACTCACATAAGGGTATAATCTGCTATTAAAGTCAACATGAATTGGAAGTTGCTGAGACTTTTATTTCAGTATGTTGATGTACTTCCAACTCAAATGGATTATTGAGTGTAACAGAGAAAGACCCCCACCGTAAATGCAGAAAAAAATGGTCAGATTTTGATTAAAGATAAGCAAAACAAACCTATTTAAGTGAATTAACTTGCAGAGATTGATTGTTCACTTAAAGAATAACAATGTGTGCTAGCAAAATAAACATTGTAAAATTAGATTTTACTCTGACTTTAAATGCAGTGGTTAATGTAACTCTGCATTAATAAATGTTAAGCAACAGTTCTTTTAAACTCAGCTGATGCTTTTCGTAGCTTTTTATTTTTACAAAGTAAAAAATATATATAACTTTTTTGTTTAGTTTAACAGGATGATGACATCAAGACTCATTTGTCTTAAATCACGAAAATGCTTCATTTACACACATCGATTTTCACGCACCTTAGTTGACCTTAACCTCAATGAGGAATTTAGAGAATTTAGGAGGGGAGGGGGGGTTCACTGAATAAATTTAAAATCTATATTTGTCATTCTTTGTGATGAGATAGATGAGATGAAATGAGAAGCCATTTCCAAAATAAGAGTCCCACATACATAGGAAATGTAAATAGTTGTTTTAACCTCCTAGGGCTGGAGTGTCCTCTTAACTGGCTATTTAAAATACTTTTAATGTTTTATATTTTGTTACAGACATACAGTGTCATCCTGCAACTGTTTTGCAGCATATGAAATGTCACAAACACTGTTTTAACTGTCCAAAATAGGAAAAAAATTTTTAACTCTTTGGTAAAAAACAGTCAGGTGTTTTATGTAAATTTGGACCACAAATCCACATATGTGGACATAATTTTTCTCTAAAAGTACATCATGTCAAAAGACAATACTTAGGTTTTTATTCTAATTTGGTTCCAATAAGCCCAAATAGCAAAGAGAAATAAAAAATGCATGTAAAAAACCTTGGGCCTTAAGAGGTTAAACTTAGAACATAAGGGAAACATTTCTATCACTGTTACAATCTCACTAGGAAACACTGGCCAAGTAACATTGCTAAGCATGCATATGAACATGCTTAACAGTCTCGATGGTTACTTATCAGTCGGTGTTATGCTCTGATTTAAATACTTTTCAGAGGTCTTTTTGTTTTAACGAGATTTACTTAATAATGAGCAAAGAATTGAGCCCTGCAATATGTCAATGACACGCACATGCAACTCTACTCTTAATATTTAACTATGCATAAGTCTGGGTTTCCGCTACATTCATTCTTCCAAGGCAGGGCACCACGCCTAAATTCATCCCACCACGGCTAGATTGCAGCTTCTCATTCAAAACATTGTCATGTTTTTTTTTAATCTCACCAAAACAAATTAAAAGGTAAAGTGAATTCAAACAGAGCTGTAACCGTAGTAGTGCTGTGCGCTTTTTGTTTAACCCTTTAAAGTTGCATGCTGACTGACTGACTGGCTGACTGACAGGTGCTTGATGTGTGAGGCAAGCAAACACGACGTATAGGCGTTTCACTTTACTTCAGGACGCATTAATACCGCTCTGTAGGTCTATTGGTTCCATTCATAAATATTCCTAGCAAATCTAATAAATGTTGGAGACATACTTGTTACATAATCACACTAAATCGCGCTTCAGCAGCGTTTATTTGAGAGCGCACAAGAAGATCTGTGCTTGAGCAGCGTAAATTTGAGGGCGTGCAAGAAGTTTTGTGCACAAGCAGAGGAAATCGGTGCACAAGCAAAGAGATTCGCATGCTCGTAGGCTATTACATAAATGCGATCTCGAATTGTAATAATGCGCTTACCACATTTGTCATTGAAATAACTCCACAGGTAGTTGGTAGATCTGAGTAAAAAAGGCCTGCTGCCACAGCTGGAAAAAATCCTAGAGAAAACTCTGCTGAAGTATATACAGTTTTTCATTCTATGGCTCCTTAAATGACGTATGCTACATTTAATACAGTAACTACATTAATAATTAATAACTACATACACAAGGGAAACAATGGCATCACAAAAAGAAAGGCGTGAAAACACTTTTGTTGAAAGAAGCACTTATGACGCTACTAATCAAATGTATATTATTAGATCTATACACAGAAACACACACAGTTGAAGTCAGAATTATTAGCCCTCCTTTGTTTTTTTTTTTTCTTTTAGAAATATTTCCTAAATGAGGTTTAACAGTGCAAGGAAATTTTCACAGTATGTCTGATAATATTTTTTTCTTCTGGAGAAAGTCTTATTTGTTTTATTTTGGCTAGAATAAAAGCAATTTTTACTTTTTCAAACACCATTTTAAGGCCAAAATTATTAGCCCCTTTAAGTTAGATTTTTTTTTTTTATAGTCTACAGAACAAACCATCATTATACAGTAAATTGTCTAATTACCCTAACCTGCCTAGTTAACCTAATTAACCTAGTTAAGCCTTAAATGTCACAATTAGCTGTATAGAAGTGTCTTGAAAAATATCTAGTCAAATATTATTTACTGTCTTCATGGCAAAGATAAAACAAATCAGTTTTTAGAAATAAGTTGTTAAAACTATTATGTTTAGAAATGTGTTGAAAAAAAATCTGCTCTCCGTTACACAGAAATTGGGGGAAACATAAACATGGGGGCTAATAATTCTAACTTCAACTGTATATATAAGCGTGTGTATCTGTGTCTAAGCAACACCTTTACAACACTAATAAGCTGAAGAATACCCACAAATACTCTGTGAATACTTTCTCACTTTCCTTCAGCTTAATTAATAATGTATCAGGGGTCTTCACAGCAGAATGAACCACCTATTATTGTTTATATGTGTTCATATGCATATGTTTTATGCGGTGGACGCCCTTCCAGCCACAACCCAGCACTGAGAGCACTGAGAACTCCTGAGAAATTTCACACTCTCCCATAGTCTGAAAACAGTGATTGAATGTAAAAAATGTACGAAAACATTGTAGTAGTGTTATTGTGCAATGTCAGTGCAGTAGTCTGTTTGTAAAATATGTATGAAATGAAATGTACATCTGAAGAATCTTTATAGACAGCATACATGAGGTTCAGCTATTAAAAAATCCTCCTTGACAAAAAGGATGCATCTTCAAATTTGGTTTCAGGTCACTAGGTGAAAGGCTGCTCTTCATGTTTCTTGTGTTCTTAAATGACCTGTTATAACTGAGAAGTCAAGTCAGTGCATGCAGGGAAATAAACAAATCATTCCAACTGATACGCAAACCAGTTTTGAACATTGCGAAGATTATTTCAACAGAGTCAACTTAAAAGTGTGTCTAATTTTTCAATGCATTGATCATTTAATTGGGGGGTTGGGGGGTGGGAGGGGCAACATGGTGGCTCTGTCGTTAGCACTGTTGTCTCACAACAAGAAGGTCACTGTTTCAAGCCTCGGCTGGGTGAGTTGGCATTTCTGTGTGGAGTTTGCATCTTCTCCCCGTGTTTGCATGGGTTTCCTCCGGGTGCTCTGGTTTCCCTCACAGTCCAAAGACATGCGCTGTAGGTGAATTGAATAAACTAAATTGGCCGTAGTGTATGTGTGTGAATGTAAGAGTGTGTGCGCTGTGTAAAATATATGCTGGATAAGTTGGCGGTTCAATCCGCTGTGGCGATTCCTGATCAATAAAGGGACTTAGCTGAAGAAAAATGAATAAATGAATGTTGTTGGGAAATTTGCTGAAGCAAAGGTAACAGAGTTTCTATACCTGCCTCTAAACTTAGTGTGCTTCATGCTCTCACTGCTCATACATTACCCAAGGTAAATAATTAGCCTAGTCCTGTGTATTTATTCTGACCTGTTACACTGTACATTACTAAACATGCATGTTTAGCTTCTAATCTATATCTTTTTACTGCTACTTGTACACATTTTGTCACTGTTTAACATTTTCTACTCAAACACTAAGGATCTTTTTGGCTGTATACATATATATATCTATAACTGTCCAAAACGTGAATAGAAGACCTGCGATTGGCTGATGGTTGTTGGTAAAGGATCTGTAGATATTTGCCAATGCAATGTGGGGTTAACAGTGCAAAAACTGTGCTTGCTCTATTCCAGTGCAGCATTTTATTAACCTGGGTAAAGGTCTGTGCACTTTTCAGTTTAGAATTCAATGTACAATTACAATAACAGTGGGGTTTCAGACCAGTTGCCAGCCTGGTGAAAGGGGTGGTTCTTTTTTTTCTCAAAAAGTGGAGCTTTTTGCAGTTATTCACCTCATTTTCTATTTTATCATGTGATTTAAATACTGCATTTAGTGACATTTTAATTCTTTGCTGCACACATTATGATAAATCTATAGAATATGTATATTAGACTGTTTTTCTTTTCTTAGAATAGCTTAACTTGAAGTGCTGTAAAAAGAATTTTGCCTTTTTTAAAAAAACCTTTTTTAAAGGTACTTTATGATATGTTGCCATATGGCAACAACATCCAGCAGTGGATCCAACATAGACATTTCTTCTAATTTAGAATTTTCCTTATAATTAATAAGTTTATTGTTTGAAATGATTTAATT